TCCTTTCCTTGCGTAGATATTAGAATTGCAAAAAGCACAATCCATGGTTTGATTTCTGGGATGAGTTTTCTCTGAAGTTTGCCATCTTTGCCACAATCTATCTCTCGCATCCGTTTTGCTAAGTCTACTCTCTTTCTCTTTTCTCTCTGTGGCAAGTAGTTCTATAGGTGGACTCCCGCTATTACTTGTACAGCATCTCTTGGATTGTCCTGTATCACTGCATATCCTGATTGCACACTTTGCTGGACAATCTTCTATAATTTTCCATTGTCCTCTGTGCAAGATCAAGACCTAAAACAGAGCCTTGCGGATTTTTATCGCGCGTTTGCTGATGTATATTCTTATTATGTTACACGTGTATTTCGAAATTCCCATATTTGTTGTTGTCTTCTATAATAGTTTTTTACTGTTCTGAGTTAAAAGTGTTTTTAACGTCAGGTGTCTGCGCCTCTGCATATAGAATCTTCTTCTAGCTGTTTGCACATGTATTTTGCAATTACAATATTTGTTGTTTCTTCTATAATGGTTTTCCACTGTTTTGAGTTAAAAGTGTTTTTAACGTCAGGTGTCTGCGCTTCTGCCTATAGAATCTTCTTCTAGCTGTTTGCACATGTATTTTTAATTCCCATATTTGTTGTTTCTTCTACAAAGGTTTTCCACTATTCTGAGTTAAAAGTGTTTTTAACGTCAGATATCTGCGCCTCTGCCTATAGAATATTCTTCTAGCTATTTGCACATGTATTTTGCAATTACAATATTTGTTCTTGCTTCTATAATGGTTTATCACTGTTCTGAGTTAAAAGTGTTTTTAACGTCAGGTGTCTGCGCTTCTGCCTATGGAATCTTCTTCTAGCTGTTTGGCAGGTTTATTTTAGCTCAGATTTTTCTGCAATCCATTGTAGTATGCTTTTATTACCTCTTTCATATTAACGTTGAAAACCTACTAATAAATATGGTACTGCTGTTTGGACCTCGTATTTGCCTCACTTGGAAATTTTCGAGAGGCAAATATCTAATGAAACCATCTAATCTTGTTACAATATTTTTCATCACTGGTGACTGTTTATTTCTTTCATTAATGAATTTCATACTTTTTACAACCTCTTTGGCTTCATACCATAATTGTAAATGACCTGATCCCATTTCAACACACTTTACATCAATCTGGTCCATTTGTATTATGCCAAAATTTAAACTATCAAATAGTTTATTTAATTAATGCTGTATCGTTCGATTCCGATGTAAATTTTGTCCCATTTGGGCAAGATTCTATCATTAGTTCCATAATTCTTTTAGCTGTTTGGCAGGCTTGTCTTAGCTCAGATTTATTAGCCCACTGTATGGCTGAACACTTGCACAGCATTTGAGACCTTCATCTTAGGGATTTATCCAGGAATTACATGTCTAATTGTAACTTTTTTTCATTGATCTTCTACTTCTTCAAGCATCAATCATCGTTAAATCGTCATATTTGCCTTAGGTTCCTTATTTTCTGGTATATATATTCGTCTTGAATTTTCTAGTATATTAATTACTGCACAATTTGTAGGACCTTGGTCACATAAAAGTGCTGCAACTTTATACCCCATATTTGCCAACCTTGTTACAATATCTTTGATGAAACGTACTTTAATTATACCTTTGAACAAAACTATAAGTTACAGAAAGTTTCCACTTCCTGTAAAAACTCAGAATCATCAGCAATTCTACCTGACCTTTCATAGCTAACATCCTCAAATCCTATAACCATACCTCTTTTACACTGATGGTCCAAATGAGGAATGATTAATGTAACTAGTCTATATACAATATTACTGTTGATATTGAAGATATTATCATTTAAATTTTAATTTTACTATCAAATTATTCTGATGGTAACTTAAACCGTCGCACAGACACAAATGATGCTTTTCGGCAATTGTTGCAGAAAACATGAAAAAATCCACAAAATGCTTTTGACCGATCGTAAATTCACCATTTTCAATGATTTTGTTCATGAGAAAGCTCTGTTCGAAATGAGTAAACAGTGGACCAAAAACAACGAGTTCATGATTCCGATGAAAAAAAAGTGCTCTTTCGCCAAGGAAATCACCGTGTCAGGTCGATCAAAACGTTGACAAAAATGCACAAATTGCACTTTTAACAGCTACTACCTGTTTGCAGACCTAAAAAGAATGCTCAAGGGAAAGGGATTTAGCTTCAACGAAGAAGTGATTGCTGAAACTGAGCGTATTTTAAGGCCAAAGATAAATCGTTCTCCAAGAAAGGTATCGAAATGTTAGAGAAGCGCTGAAGGAGACTATGTTGATGAATAAAGTCGAATATTGCGCAAAAGTTGTTTCTTTATTAGTCATCCTACGAACTTATTGAGTGAGGAGTTACACCAAACACATAAAAAATATAATAATCAATAAATGTATTTTATCAATTGAGAAAAGTTATTTAATTCATTCATTAATTCAGTACGGTTTTGATATATGAAACGTCGATACATCTAATAACAATATGTAATAGAATGAAATTAGTTATTAAAAAAAAGTCTTTGTAATCTCGACAATCGTAACACTAACGTAATTATAATACAAATCTAATTAAACTTTCATAAACCTTTCTTTATTTATTTAACATTATGACTAAACGAGGAAATAAGTAAATTTTGATATTTCGTAATGTAATTATTCAATGCATATTCAATAGGCAATTATTAACAGAGACAATAATTAAACTAATTCTGTACACTATTATATATAAAGTTATGAATTCATATAAGGAAATTATATTAACAAAAGTATTATCTCATTTCTTCGAAAGAAAAAAACAACACATAAAAAGACTATAATCTAGGTCTATATTAATAAATATTAAATTTTAATTTGAAATTCATATTTTACTTGATGTTCTTTCATTTAATAAGATGAATGAAAAAAAAATGAACTGTTAATTCAAATGCAATTAAAATCGTTCTTAATTGGATCTGTTGTTGCGTGCAGAATGTAGATCAAGAACTTTGATTTCAATATTTAGGTTTTGCGGTTTTAGTCCATTGTTGTTTTACTTTTGAAAGAACATGTGTTCGAAATCCAATTAACCAATTTCAGCTTTTCAAAGAAGAAACCTTTTAAACGATTTAAACCAAAATCAATATATTACTCATGCAAAACTATTACATTTTTACATAACATATTTTCAAATCATTACAATTCAGTGAAACAAACTTCACAATTTACATTGAATGGCTAAATTGCGTTTGTTAACAAAAAAACTAATGTTTTTATTAAAAAATTTAATTGATATATAAAAAATGAGTTGTATTATAATCACAAAACAGTTTTCCTTTTAACCTTGCGTTCCTAATGTAAATCACCTTGAGTTTCATTTCTTCCGAAACAAGAAAAAAAACACAAACAAAACAAAAAATAAATAATCTTGTATTGATTCAAAGATTCGAAAAGTCCTTAGAAATTGCCCTTGAAAATGATATGGAACATTACAAAAAATAGTAATATGTATGAACCTGATAATTATAATTTCAATGACAATGCAAACTTAATTTATGCTGCGTTACATTTCCGAAACTCCACCTTAAAAATTATAATTTATTACTTTGAAGTTTCTTTCTCATTTTTTTTTTTGAACAATTTTGTTTCGTCGTATAAATTATTGACAAAAAGGAAAATTTTTCACTTTTAATTTATAACAAATTAAATTTTTGCTCTCTCTAAGAGTTAATTTGGAAAAACTTTTGCTACTATTTAAATTAGATGATGTATATGAAGATTCTTTATATGAAAATTCTTTCGATTCAAAATATTTGAAATTAGTTTTTCAAATAGATTCAATTTGTTGATTGATATTCCGATCGTAGACAGTTTTGGTAAAAATAAAAGGTGATCAAAATAAACAGATAGAAACGTCGAGACGTACAGAAAAAGTGAACATACTTTGAAAATAAAGTTAAGATATTTATATTAAGTTCTTGGTACTTCAGAAGAGGCATTTTTGTGCAAAGAATTTCCTAGAGCAATTCCTACCCTATCAAGCTTATATTTATTAATCTAATTTATGTAAAAATACCAATAATAATTTGAAAGATATGAATAGGAAATCCGTCTAAAAAAATATCAACACCACTGAAGAATCTGGTGTACCTTTTGCGACGATATCAAGGTTAGTAATCACGAGCTTTCAAAATGCTGTTCAAAGAGTAGTCCCAGAAGTACCCGACCTAACAAAGAAAACACAAAAAAAATATCTTTATATTTCAACATAGTCTTCTTTTAGCTCGATTTATAGAGAACAAAATATTAATATTATAATATTGGAAGAAGATGTTTTAACTCTTTGAGAGGCCAGAAATTTCTTTACCCAACAATTTCTGAATCAGATAACTACGTCAACTGAATCAACATCGAATGGTATGGACTATCAAGATTCATGCGTTGACAAATTAAATTGTAATTACTGTACATTTTCTTGAAAATTAAAAAGAGTTAAGAAGTATAATTGATGTAATAGATGACAAAAATATGATGTTTCTCTTAGATTATGTTTATAATTGTAATGTTGTGAGAGTTGGAAAAAGTACTACAATTATTTTTTATGGTAACGAGCTTGATAGAAAATTGGACCAACTATCCAAATTGAAATTGAAAGAAGTATCAATAATTAATGGAAATATATGAATAATTTAATAGATATGATGTGGATGAAATATGAATTTTAATTCCATTGATGATGAGTGGAGTATTGAAATTCCAGACATGATGTCTGGTTAAAGGTAACGAGCTGAGGAGAGCAGAGACATTGGAGTCGTTCTCGAAAAGTGCGTGTGTCGGTCGTGCGGTAGGTCAGTGAATAAATTGGCCGTGACACAAAGTGAGGTGAGATGTATGTGTGTATTTGTACGTATACGTATATGAGGTAGTCCCCGTTTCGGGTGAGTTGGTGGTATCCCGACCATCGACCACCTCCAAGAGTCCAACGAAACGAACGAACGAACGACCGAGCAACCAACCATCACCACCGACGTGCTTATAAAAGAGCGCGTTCGCATTGACGGCGATTAGTACGGTAGAAAGCTAGGTCATCAGACGTTCTAGTCGTGGCAGTAGCGCATCCACGTGTTCCTTGTGACCCATTTTAATTAGCGAAAACAGAAAAGATCACCACGTACGTACGTTCGTGTCGACGTACATCTGTCTGGAAGAGAAATTAAAAGAAGACAGCATCAGAAAACATCGACGGAAGAAGGAAGAATAGATTGTTAAGATCAGATCAGATCCTCCAAGAAAAAAAAATATATTTAACACCGAACTAAGAAGAATCGAGTGAAGACTGAATGCGAAATTAAAATTCCTTTTTTGACGCGGAAAGCAATTCTAATCCAGTGATATACCTGTGTGATATTATTTATTAGTGTTATTACAAAAGAAAGAAAGAAAGAAAAAAAAAAACAGATTTTTGAAAGAGAAAATATTTAATTAATTACGGAAAAAAATCAATCTAGGCTACAACTCGACCAGACATACAGACAGATAGATACACACACATCCATCCAGAAAAGAAAGTCAAGGAAATTAAAGGTAAGAGAAGAGAGGAGAGGAACATGTTTAACATTTCTAGCGGTTTTCAAGAAGAAAGCGAGCGAACTATGCGAGGCACGAAACTGTTCATGCGGAAAATTATTATGCGAAACTCATTCATTCATTCATTCATTCACCTTCTACATTTGTGCGTCTCTATAACAAATAATTTAAACACGGGTTCAATACCTTCCTTTCAAATCTCGACTAAATCCTCAAATTTTCAAAAAAATAAAAAGTTTATTTCTCCATTGTGCACGCGTCTCATCTAAACTTTTCCTTTCGCAAACACCTCTATTATGATTCGTTTTAATCTTAGTATCAACGCAGAGATGTAGATTACATTAGATTTTGAGCAACTTTGATCGTTTTAAGGTCACCGCCGCCGCTTTCACGCGTATAGACCTGATTTGGAAAAATTTAATCACCAAAATTGTTTGCTTTTGCAAGTAAACCATTTCGTAACTGTTGCACTCGATATGCAAATTCGGGTAATGTTTTTCATATGAACTCATACATATAGACTCAATATACAAATTACAAAAAAAAAATGTAGAATTAGTTCTTATTAAGAAAAGTGTAATAATGGAACGAATTTACATCAAATCTAAATGTTTCTATTTTGGACACAACAAATCAATTAGAATAATTAATGAAGGCCGTAATAATTGACAAAATTGAAATGAAATGCAAATTATTTTTATAGTCACCATTAATTGTATCTTCATAAACATTCAAAAAATAAAGTTGAAATGCCAAAATTTCAGTAGGTATTGTAGATATAGATTCGGCTTCTTCCTATTAAATTTTATTCATACTTTTTAGATAAATCAAGCATTTTGTAAGGTTACCCTTGAACTCACCTTTAGAGTCAAATCATTCGATTGTTTATTAAGTAATAACTTACCAACAGACGTACATATGGTCATGATTGCCGTTTTCGTTCAATATCAATGTTAGAAGGTCATACTTCCAAAAATATTAGTCTTAGTTTTGCTAACCATTTCTTTAAAGATTCAGAAAGCTGATTATCATCATAATGAAGACGGTTGTTATGTACATTAACTATTTCAGTTACTAAGGACGACAACCATAGCAACCCTTAAATAACAGTTATATATAGATGACTGAACATTATTTACTAGAGGACAATTTATTATTGCAAGGAAAAAGTCTGTATTTTAGAAAATAACAATCATGCAAAACAACGTAAAACGAACAATATTCATATTAGTAAATATAAAAGTCAGAATCCTTACAGCACAATTATTCTTGTAGGAAGAACAAAAGTAATGAATATTAATTTTCAATCGAAAACACGAGAACATACTTAAATTAATGAGTCTTTCTGAATACAATTTGCATATCGGAATTTCGCCGATTTTATAATTACAATAATTCGAAATTAAAACGCTGAAAAATGATGATTTAATGAACGAGAGAGAAAAATAAATATTAGAAGGAAGAATATTTTAATTTGTGAACTATCAATAAATAACGTTGGTAGAAATAAATAAAGAAATAAATTAGGTAAGCATTTGAGTCATTGGTGGATGACGGAAGAGTTTGAATTAAATTTATTTTTCTCAATGAAAATAATTGAGTAACTTATAAATATGTATAATCTCTATATATATATATTACGTAAGTGATTAAAAATATATATATATTTTTTTTAAGGTAGAAAAGTGTCGAAAAGCGTGTTAGTCTTAAAGTTTGAGAAAATAGGCGAATTTTGAATGAAAAGTTATAGGTTTTGAAGGGTATAAGTATTTTTTTTCATTTTTTCAACTTTGAACGTAAATTACAGCCAAACGGCTAAAACCACAGTAATATATCAATAGATGCTAGATTCCCCAAACATTCAGCTTTCATATGCATCTTTCGGATTCATTCTATCTATTATAGTTTTCGAGAAAATCAATGAAATGTGAAAACACTGCTTTTTTGATATGAGTGAGTGTATAAGAGAGAAAATCGGAGCATCGCGGTGAAATGTAAATCGAGATCGTTATAGGCATTAAATCCAATTAAACAACAAGCAGAAAATTTAATTACAAAGAACGTAATTAAGTTGGCGTTCATTTAATGCTCCGTCGATCCCATATTTCTCGGTGCCGTTGACTCGCCTCGTTCCGTCTTCGTCTCCGTTCCGCAGTTCGAGTGCTGCTGTTGCTGCTGATTTAATTGGGGGGAAAAAATATAAGAAATTCTAATAATAATAAGAGGTATGTAGTAATTAGGCTGCAGCTTACAAGAAAGTTGCGTGATTTGATAATGAAGTGTCTTGGAAAGGAATCGCTGAATTACTTTTACTTCGATGATGGTGTTTGTTGTTAATTGATTCGGAATGGCGAAGAGCGGAGAGAGCTTGGAGAAATGTGGAAGGCGCGTGCACGGGCTGAAGTTCAATGATACGAAGTTTATTATAATTTATGAGGTTGCAATTTGAAAGTTCGCGATCGCACGTTTCGGATTTATCAATCGTATGCGTTTCGAATTGAAATTGATCGAGTTTGCTCTTGTTGTTTTGCAGACTTTCAAGATGCCAGAAGCACCAGCAATGAGCGAGGGTGAATTCATCGTGGAGAAGAGGGAGAGTTATTCGCCGGAGCCTCCAGCGAAATGCTTGGAGACCAGGGACAGTATCTCGTCCATAGATAGCGACGTTTCCTTGTCCTTCGATAAACCGATAACGGAGAACAACGAGGACGAAGGAGCTCACATGGCAGATATGAGTGACAGTGCTTCTGATACCGGTTCAAACGGTGGTGGGAAAGATTCAGGATGCGAGGTGACTCCAGAGGTGAGCGAACCACCGCCGTTCACGCCACCCAACGAGGAGCTCTCCGACAAGATCGTGCAGCAGGTGGAATTTTATTTCTCGGACGCGAACATCACGAAGGATGCGTTCCTGCTGAAGCACGTGAAGAGGAACAAGGAAGGATTCGTGAGCCTGAAGTTAATCTCGAGCTTCAAGAGGGTGAAACACATCACGAAGGACTGGAGGGTCGTCGCTCACGCCCTCATGCGTTCCGATAAGCTGGAGATCAACGAAGCCGGCACGAAACTGAGACGGTTGGATCCGTTGCCGCAGTACGACGAGACGACACCTTCGAGGACGGTAGTCGCTGTAGAGATGCCCATCGAGAAGCCTACGATAGAAAACGTTGCGGAGCTCTTCAAGAGCTGCGGCGAGATCGCGCTCATCCGCATCCTGAGACCGGGTAATCCGATCCCCGCCGACGTCAGGCAGTTCATCAACAAGAACCCGTCTCTGGCCGGTCAGGTGTGCGCTCTGGTGGAGTTCGTGAACTCGGAGAGCGCGAGAAACGCTCTGCAGATGCCCAACTTCAAGATCTACGAGCTGAACTGCGTGCCTCATCCCGAGCGCAAGAAGAAGTTGCCCAAGAAGAAACCCGTGGAAAGCGATCAATCGGAGGCCGAAGAGAAGCTGAAGGAGACCAAACCGAAAACGCGTCGCGGTTCGTCCATCCATTTCCCCAAGAACGGAATAGAACCCGCCGCTTGGCTTCAAAGGAGACTCTCCGCTTCCAGCACCGAGGCCAGCTTCATGTTCTTACCTAGACGCTTATCCTACGGTAGTCGCGATTCCAGCGAGTCGAGCCTCTACATGTCCAGAAGGGTGAGCGCCTGCAGCATGAGCTCAGAGAACAGCAGCAGCAACAGCTTCATCCAGCGTCGCATGTCCGCGTGCAGCATCAGCTCAGAGAGCAGCGGTCCCGTAAGATCTCGCAGCAACAGCACCGCTTTCCAGAACGAGAACGTTCTCAGGATGCCCAAAGGACCGGACGGTTCTCGCGGTTTCAGGCATAGGATCTCCCTCTCCACCATCCCCGCATAGTCAAAATCAACGGTAAGAGAAGACGACGAAAATTGATTTCCAAAAGAAACACACACAAAAAAAAAACAGTTTTCACAACGGACTTTCCAAACGAAAACTAAATACAAGAAAGTAAATAGTAGTACTACTTAATTTCTTAAAGAGAAATCATTTATTCGGAAAATTATTAAATTATTGGAATCAATCGGACTTATATATCATACTTTTGTTGAACTTTTGCTACTTATTCTCTTTTGACGAAACTAGCATACGTTCTCTCAGTGCACACACACGCTGCCTGCACCCGGATTTATTTTTTTTTTTGTTCGTAACATTAATTTATTTATATATTTTTTATTGTTGTTCTTTTGTTTTATTTATGTTTACTTTAAGTATAATCGACTGCGGTTACCATGACGATCGATTCCTATATATTTCACGATTCGATTAAAACTGGACAAAGTAACGAAAAGTTCTGCTTCTCATCAAAAACAGTTAATTTTCTCTGTGGTTCAAATTTTCATCAAACTGCAATATCAGTATCCAAAAGTAATACCGTTAAGCTAATACTAAACATGTATTTCACACTTTCCGTAATTCGATTAGGTTTTTGGATCAAATAGGAAAGTAAAGAAAACTTTTCGAAAAACGTACATTCTCTATAATCATTGAAATTCTGTTTTAAGAACGAAGAACAACGTCTTTTTTCCTACACATTTCATGATTCGATGATACCTAGTTTATGTTTGGATCAAATTGGAAAGTAACGAAAAGTTCTGCTTCTCATCAAAAAAAAAACAGTTAATTTTCTCTGTCCAAATAATTGGTTCAAATTTTCATCAAACTGCAATATCAGTAAGCTAATGTTAATGAAAACATGTATTTCACACTTTCCGTAATTCGATGGTAACTAGATTAGGAATAGGAAAGTAACAAAAACTTCAATGCTTTTCGAAAAACGTATATTCTCTATAATCATTGAAATTCTGTTTTAAAAACGAAGAACAACGTCTTTTCTCCATGATCAAATTGGAAAGTAACGAAAAGTTCAATGTTCTGCTCAAAACATCCTAATTTGTGTATTGGAACAATTAAAATTCTCTATTATACGAACAATTCATTCCGAAAATCTAAAATACACATTGAAAAATAATGAAATTATGCAATAAGTTCATTGCCATTCGACGATTTCATATTAATCATATTGGAAAGTAACAAAAAGTTCAATGTTCTATGTCACTATTTTTCTTTTTGTTTTGTTATATTCCAATTCCAAGTGGAACGGAAACATTTATTCTCGTTTCGAACTTCCTAATTCGAACGTCAAAATCATGGTAATAACGTTCATTATGAAACAATTGGTTTTTGGCTCTGGAAACGGTACCAATGAACACAACAACAAAAAAAAGAGAGAGAGAATACACACTTGATACGAAGACACACACTAAATACAAGAGAAAAATAATTAATTTGACCTGGATGCGGCCAAAGCAGAACGCGATACTTTCACCGTGTAAAATGGTATGAAAATGACACGAACACCAATTTCACATTCAGAACGAATTTTCGCTCTGCACGAAATATATAAGAAATAGAAGGAAAAAAAAACAACAATTCGTTCATTAACAATGTTTAAACGATTAATAATAAACATTGATAATTATAACACTGTTATTATTATAATTATTCTTTTCACATTTGCATTTGTTGTTGTTTTTTTTTACAGGAATTTATTCGAATTGCGAAATACGTCGTCCCGATTACATAATTGCAATTAATGTAAACGGTATCGATAGAAATGGTAATCCGCGTACTTTTGTAACTATTCTTTTTTTAAGTATAAATAATATGATTATTATTTTTATATATATTTTTTTTTGTGCGTATTCAATAAGGATAAGGAAAAAGTATGTTAATGTCTTATTAAGTAAGTTAACGTTGGCTCATTCAATTAATTCTATTTAGTGGAAAGAATAGTTTTATCTTATGATTTCTAACTCTCAAAAAAACATATTTTTTGTTCGCACATAAACAACAACAGCAACGACGACACAGGCATTTTCCACATCCAAATATAATGGCTTCTTTTGCGTGGATGCATTCATTTCACTCTCCCAAAACCTAGCATGATAAGGTTAGATGTTAAGTGTAAATAATTTACAAGATACTTGTATAAAAATTGCTTATTTATTACAACTTATTTATTTCCGTTTTTATTTTGAAACAATGTATATTTTAGGGTGAATTCGAATAAAAATGTATTACACAAAACTATCTTCTATTTACCCAAATCCATGCACATTCCGCAACGACACAATACTACTTTGTATTCCAAACGTGATTCAAATAAACAGTTCATTCGATTGTTTTTTGTTTATCGAAATAATGTATTTTGATCAAACAAGCTGTTATTTACTGTCGTATACTCATTTGTTTTTTTTTTGATAACTGTTCATGGTTCCTAAACAAAAAAAAAACTTTAGTGAACATCACAAATTATATAAAAAGGTGTCAAATATTTCTTGGATCTTAATATTATATCACAATCAAATGTACTTAAAGTAAAGGTTTATTATTATTATTATTGACAGTTTATTAAAGTTGACATTCGTAATCTGTATTAATCAGCCTGTCAAAGTTAAGGTTTGTAATCTGTAATTTCTCTAGTTTGACAGTTTATCAAGGTAAAAGTTATAGTTTCTTATAAGTTTGAGTATTGATTAGTCTGACAGTTTATAAATGTTAAAGTTTGTAATCTAATCATTAGTTTGACAGTTTATCAAGGTAAAAGTTATAGTTTGTTATAAGTTTGAGTATTAATCAGTCTGACAGTTTATACAAGTTAAGGTTTGTAAACATTAGTTTGACAATTTATCAAGGTAAAAGTTATAGTTTGTTATAAGTTTGAGTATTAATCAGTCTGACAGTTTTTACAAGTTAAGGTTTGTAATCATTAGTTTGACAATTTATCAAAGGTAAAAGTTATAATTTGCATTAATCAGTTTGAGAGTTTATTCATTAAACTTTTCTTGGATTTTAATATAATATCACAATCCAATACGATTCGGTAAGTAAACTTTTAATTTCTTGATAATTAATTTCAAATAAAAATTTTCCTAGATAAGTGTTTTTCAAATTGTGATAAATATCATAAATTCAAACGTATTATGATCAAAATTTGTACAAAATGCATTTATTTGCATACATGGTAGGTATAGTGACATTTACTATTTTAGTTGGTACAAAAAAAAACTAACTATTTCAGACTCCAAATCAATTTTATAGGTAAATATGACCAACAAATGTCAAGTAAAAACTGTAAGCAGCATTACCAATGTTTTATTACTAAAAATAAAAAATGACTTTCAATGTTTTCAAATCTTTTATTCATATTTATACTAACTTAATTTGATTAACACTTACATTAATTAAAGTCAAAATTAATGCCTTAATGTTAATGCCCAATAAACGCAAGTTTTTAGACTCTAATTTTTCTTCAAGTATACTAAATAATCCTATATTGTTACAACTAGATTGCTTTAAATTATTTTTTCACTATATTATTTCGGTTATTATATTTCATATTTTTTAGGTTCAAATTCGATAAAATTAATCTGTTTGAATTTAAATGAAGTTTCGAGTTAATTAAAGATTGAACTCTTTACATTTTGCATCATTTCATCTGGATCTGGATCATTTGAAATTAATTGATAAAAACAATTATAATAATTGAAATAATCACGGTTTCTTGATTAGAGTAATTTCACTTATTAACTCGTGCATTTTCCGTTGAAATTCCGATCGCTTTAACCGCAGCATTGTCGACAGTATAGTTATCATACATATTTCCCGTTAATGCATAATCGCATAGAAAGTAATTACATTCAAAATGATTTCTGTTTAGAAATCAGAACTGTTTAGTTCAACATCCTGCAAATGAATAAATAAAAATTTAGTTATTATCCATTTAAAAGCACGTTTCAAATCAATTTACAATTGCAATTACAATTTAATAAAGACATTCTATCTATATATATAATAATTAATGTAGAAGCGAATATATATATTTAGATAATAATTGACTGCATTTCTTTCGGGAGAAAGTTAATGGTAAATGTCACAAAATTGCTTGAAATTAACAGAAATACCATAAATATCCAACAAACAAACTAACTAATAATAACTAAATTAACATTCATAAATTGATCGACTAATTTAGAAGGCTATCGCGGCATATGTTTTTTTTTTTTTTTTCGAGGCAACTGAACTGGNTTTGCTCCACTTTTGTTGTTTTTTTTTTTGGACACATAATATTTATCGGCAACCCAAAATTGTCAACTAATTACATTCATTTGAATAATGCGAAGATTAAACATGTATTTTTACGTTTCACAAACATCAATCTCATTTATGTTCAATACAAATGTCACTTTTTGTTTTTTTTTTAATCTGTTAGAAAATGAATCATCATTGTTGTTGTTTTTATTTTAGTTTTTTTTGTTACATTTTAAATATTAATATCGCGTCGTAACCTTCGAATTGAATTTCTTAGAATAATAAAGGATGAATTGCGCATATTCAAAAATATAAATGTAAATTTTAAGTTAATGTTATAACAAAGAAAAAGCAACAACTTCTTACGCCGTTTTTAAGTACTTAATATTAGATTGACAGATACTTAAAGTAAATGATCATGATTGACTATATTAATCAGTTTGACAGTTTATTCAAGTTGACATTCGTAATCTGTATTAAATCAGTCTGACAGTTTGTCAAAGTCAAGGTTTGTAATCTGTAATTATTAGTTTGACAGCTTATCAAGGTAATAGTTGTGATTTTTAATAGTAAGTTTCAAAACTCATCAACGGTCTGCATTAAATAGTTTGACAGTTTATCAAGGTAAAAGTTATAGTTTGTTATAAGTTTGAGTATGGATCAATCTGACAGTTTATACAAGTTAAGGTTTGTAATCTAATCATTAGTTTGATAGTTTATGAAAGTAAAAGTTATAGTTTGTTATAAGTTTGAGTATTAATCAATCTGACAGTTTATACAAGTTAAGGTTTGTAAACATTAGTTTGACTGTTTATCAAGGTAAAAGTTATAGTTTACTATAAGTTTGAGTATTGATCAGTCTGACAGTTTATAGAAGTTAAGGTTTGTAATTATTAGTTTGACAGCTTATCAAGGTAAAAGTTACAGTTTGCTATAAGTTTGAGTATTGATCAGTCTGACAGTTTATACAAGTTAAGGTTTGTAATTATTAGTTTGACAGTTTATCAAGGTAAAAGTTATAGTTTGTTAAAAGTTTGAGTATTAATCAGTCTGACAGTTTATACAAGTTAAGGTTTGTAATCATTAGTTTGACAGTTTATCAAGGAAAAAGTTATAGTTTGTTATAAGTTTGAGTATTAATCAGTCTGACAGTTTATATAAGTTAAGGTTTGTAATCATTAGTTTGACAGTTTATCAAGGTAAAAGTTATAAGTTTGAGTATTGATCAGTCTGACAGTTTATACAAGTTAAGGTTTGTAATTTAATCATTAGTTTGACAGTTTATCAATGATAAAGTTTGTATAAATCTGTATTAATTAGTTTGAGAGTTTATTCATTAAAGTGTGAAAGTAATTGCAATCAAATTTAAGTACAATAATTGATAAAAATTGTAAGAAAATTTTCACGAATATCAACGAAATGCGTCGAACTTTTTTTTCAACAGTTTGAAGACGTTTAATTGTAATTCAATTTGACTCGGCCAATTAAACTCAATACCCGTATGAAACTTTCTTTCTGATCGTGATGTTCAAAAAGTGTGACACGACACGTACACGAGGAGTCTTCAACGTATCCTTCTTTCCAATTTTCTTTCTATATTCATTTTGTTTTCAATTATTTATATAATTACCAGAATGCAATTTTTAAATCAGTGCACCGACCAAACAATTAATGCATACTTTTTTTTTGTGTTTGCGCAACTTTCACCGAGCAGCATGCAATACGAGCAAAGTTTACTCTATACTCAATCTCCAAGAATATACATAATTATGTTGTATTAATTCATGTAAACTATATTTTTATACTGCGATTCTTGCAATAAATATGCGAGGAATAACACAAAAAATAATAATAATAATAAAGTGTGTTATTTAAAAAGAAAACGTAAATGAAGTATATGGATTGGAGTAATCTGGAATTCACCTTGAAAAGATAAAGTTTAGTGCGAAAACATGTAAAAAAACGAGTATGGAAATGGAAGGAAAACTACGTATATATATATAAAAACACACACTTGAGCCGATATCGATAATTATGTAAGGAAAGTTTAATTGCTTTTTTTTTAAATGATTGAAAATTGATTGAATTTGTCGTTTGGAGGTGTTAGAATGCGATACGTGGAAAAGGTATCGAGCAGCGATTTCCAGTTTCTCTTTTTCCGAGCGGCCGCATCTACAATGTCGAGCTGTATGAACTTGACTCCGATGAAAGTGCACAAACACAGAGACACATATGTTTAGCGGCGTTTGTACGCGAACGCGAATGGAGAAAGTTTGCGCAAATTGCGCGGCTCTAATGCGATCGTAATTGCCTTCATTGCAAATGCGGCGAAACCTTTCTTCGTGTTTCCATTGCCCGGACGCAACGACAATAACAAAAACCGTAATGAACATTTGGAGAACGTGTGGCTTATAATAAATCAAAGGAAAGTCTTCAAATCTTATCATAATTAAAACGCAAACAAAAGATTTATAGTAACTATTTTCTATTTAACGTTTGCTATGGAAATTAACTGAATCTCAATATAAACATAAAACATAAAAAAAACAAGTAATTAATTAAATTATTTATTCAAAATAAAAATGCATATGAGAATATGAGGGCTTTCATGGAACAAATACAGTTGTTTGATGTAGGTCTCAATTCCCAAAAACTCAACTTATATATGAAGAAATGTATACCCAATGTGTATGTTTGCATACTTAGGTCATTAAATTTGAAATGTACGAATACCTCAAGTACCAACTTTGAATTAAACAAACGTCAAATCAGAAATAGTTTCGAAGCTTGCTTTTCTTTGTGACATAAAGACAAACCATTTTTACTCCACATTATTTCGTACGGCAAAAAATATATACATTTTGGCATAGTTCGGCATAATGATGGATACAAATTTGTAATCTTTTTTTTTTACGATAAATCAGTTGGTATGAGATTTGTACATATGCCTTGAGAGAGAAGAAGATTCTTCGTCCGAAATCGGTTGAATTGGATAATAATGATGATGCCAACACAAGCTAATGGTGTCTGTTTGGTGATCTAAATCTGGTGTTTTACTCTACGGCTTCACGAAACCCAGTCAATCAATTATGACATATCTCTACTGTAATTTATTTGAATTTGTATATATTTAACTATATTGTGGAATATTTTGTATATCTTAACTCTTTGTAAACTTATTACTACTGGTATATTTATAACAATTCATATAATATTTTACTTACCTAACTGAGACCTTCCACATTGTTCGTGAAGATTTCCTATATGTTTTTTTTTGTGTTACATATTATTATTTAATCTAATTCAGTATTTAATACGGCATTGACTGGCTACATGCACCCCTTTGTGCGATTTAAGTTGCATACTTACACTCCTTTTCAGTGTGGAAAAAACAGAACAGAACAGTCTACTGTAACCAAAGAGACAATTATATATTAGTAGAATATCTTTAGAATTAATCTGTGTTTAAATGTTAAAAGTTCTACTCAGTTTTATAAAGAACTTTAAAAAGTACCACAAATCCTTAGCCGAAATTATCCTTACATTAAATTAAAGTTGTTATAAAACCAATTAGATTTACTTAATTTCTTACTAAGACTCCACAACAACACAAGAAAACCCGAGTTTTAAACTATATGTATTGTTTTAACTTTCAACATAATTTACCAATCATAAAAACCAATATTATTTGTGAAATTGAAGAAATCCAAATATTCCAAAACTTTGACACAAAACTGTCTTTTTACAAACATGTCACTATTTATTAATTATTACTAAGTTATATTATTAAACTAATAATTCAGTATAACAAATTTGGCATGATACAAATAAAAGCCCTGGACAAATACTGTACATCAAGAAGAGACGCTTTTCTCCCCTATTTGTATTATGTTCAAATGTCCACTTATTTAAAGATTCAGAGCTTATATGTATGTTGGGTCACCAACCTTATATATTTATCAACCGAGAATCAAAAAGGCGTAGGAATTTTTTAAAAGTTTATACATAATTTACAATGTTTAACATATCAAAATATATATTTTTTTTCATATATTTCGTATGTTAAACACTTTTGGAAACGTCAGTTGGTAATTAAAAAAAAATCTAATTATTTCAAGCTTGGTATAATGTTCTTTCATCAAGAAGGGACGCTTTTCTCCCCTATTTGTATTATGTTCAAATGTCCACTTATTTAAAGATTCAGAGCTTATATGTATGTTGGGTCACCAACCTTATATATTAAGCAACCGAGAATTAAAAAGGCGTAAGATTTTTTTTTAAGTTTATACATAATTTACAATGTTTAACATATCAAAATATATTGTTTTTTCATATATTTCGTATATTAAACACTTTTGGTAACGTTAGTTGCTAATTTAAAAAAAAAATCATACCAATGGATAGGCAACACTACATGCAAAACAAATATAGATTCTAAAAAATGAATAATTGTTTTCTGCACGACATTTTTAGGAGAAATTTTATATCATGTTTCTAAGAATTTATGTCCAAATAAGTTAATCAAATTAGTTTCATCATGTTCCAACAATTTTCTTTAAAATCTTTAATTTGACTTAAAAACTTATCTTCTCAAATATCTATGAACCATTATTGATTGGTACATCAGTATTAAGACTTATTACTATGTTACATTACTTTAATTTATAAAATAAATTGTGTATTAAATTATTCCACAAGTTTTTATAATTATGATTATTTTGTGGTTATTTTGTTAATGATATAACAACGGTGTTGGCAACCCTGCTCAGTTTAATATCAAGTTTACTTTAATGGTACAAAAGCTTCAGATAAGTTTATTGGATTTTACGTTTAAATTAATAATTATTCAAATATTCAGTTGTCTTACTAGTCCTTTTCCAGATACTTACCTCTCACCAATTACAAAACAATCACTGCACGTTTTATTTATAATAACATGAAATATCAAACATATCTGAAATAGAGACACAAACAAAAACATAAAATTAGAGTAAATAAACAGAGCGAACCATAAAAAAAAACAATAAATATAATCAACAATTAAGTCTTACTTAAATACTCACCAATGAAAAGTCTGAAATCCAAGAAAATCCACGAATTACAACAATCCATATACATTTCGTTTAAATACTTGAAAAGAAAAAATAAAAGTGAACTTGAAATAAATTCTCATTTGATGCAATAACTAATAATAATAATAATAAGAATCTAAGGACGAATACCAACCAGAAAAGGAAGAGTTCACACACATCCCAGATAAATAAAAAGCCAATATTTTACAAACCAACTTTATTTCTTAAAACGTTATTATTAATTATATCTATTTTTCCTTTTTAAAATATCTTTTAAATGTTGCTGTCTTTTTTTTTTTAAAAAAAATAGTTTACCGATTTAAACGAAAAAAAAAAATCTAATTCTGTTTTTTTTTCTGTGTGTTTTCGTAAGCCCCGCAAAAAACTTTCTTTTTGTTTTAGTTAATCTGCTTTTCTTTTTACTATTTTTTATAGTTATTTTTCTACTGTTATTTATAATAACATTAATAATGCTTAATATATATATTTATATATATATAAATACTTGGATGTTTCTGGTTTGCTATATATTTTTTTTCTGTGTCTTGTTTTGTCAAAAAAAAAAAAGAAAATAATAGAAGATAAATCAAATAAAAACGTAAGAGAAAACTATAAAAACAAATGCGAAATAAACGAAATGAAATGGTTGAACCCTTCAATTGAGTTGAAAGTGGAGGTACCTGCAATCTCATCAACATTATAAATCAAAAATAGACAAAATATTAAAAGAAAATGTTATCCCCCAGAAATAGAAAAAAAAAATAATAATTAGAGAAAAACAAAACAAATTGCATCAAATATAAATAAACCAATTGTTGTTTTTTTTTGCGTTTTTGCTTTTTTTTTATATAAGTTAATATATATATATATGTGAACCCTAGAAGACAAAACAACTGAAACAAACAAAACTATGCTCACGCTCGTTCTCATCTCATCTTTCATCAAGTCATGCAGTTGTACTAAACCAAAATAAAAAAATTACTCCTTTTTTTTTTCTGTATACAATCAACTTGTTTTCTTAGAGACTACATTTTTTTTGTCCATGTTCTTTTTGTTTCCACTATGTTTTTTTTTGGCGTTGAAGTTTCTTTTTTGTTGTTGTTGCTGTTGTTGTTGAAGTATTGTTACTCTTTTTTTGTTTTTTTGTTTCTTTAAAGTTAATGAGAAGTTGTGTGTAAAAAATAAACAGTGAAAGGCATAAAAACCTGCACTGGCGCAGACCCTCCCCGAGCACAGAGCAATGGACTGAAGTTGACAGCGGCTGGACTTGGCGTGGATCCTACGATGTTTTGGGTGATGAGGCGGCGGCGGCGGCTGCTGCTGCTGCTTTCGCTGCGGCGGCGGCGGCAATGGTTCGTGCGGGGGGTAGAAGATGGACGAGGGCGGAGGAGGAGGGCGGCTCCAGGAACACTCCAACTATCAGTAAGGGGCATAATAGGCACCCCTGCGAGCATAACTTCTAGAATCACACAATTGTACCCATACAATAATTTTTGGGCTTCGTGTGGGGGTTGTAAGAACTACCTAAAAGTCTCAACTCCTTCCACACAAATAACAAAACGAAAATACGAAACCATAGAAATATACGTATATAAAAATAAATAATAAATGATAGAAAAGAAAATATAAAAGTTATAATAATAATAATATGTATATACTTTATATAAACACAAATATGCATACGTATATTCAAATTTGCATATATATATACACATCTATAAATAAAAGCCAGTTGATAAATTATGGTTAATATTTATTAGAGAACATTGTTTCTATTATTATATTTGTTTTTTTTTTTTTCAAAGATTTTTCTTCAATAGATAAAAGATACAAAGGCTATTCAAGAGAAACAGTTTTTAAAAGCCATAAAAATATGTACAGTATATATGTTTCTTTTCCTGGCACACTTTTCGTATGCCAAAAAAAAAAAGAGAGAATTAATGCTACCAACACAGATTATCGTAAAACAAAAAAAAAGAGAGAACAAGAAACAATCCAGTCCAGGCAAGACCTCTCTGAATATTCGAGGCTTCTTAGAGCATGGCTATGTTTCGGTAATTGAATCAAATGAAGAAATCAATAACTGTACTTTGATGTATACAAGAGTTAAAAATTAATTCGGCTGATGCGGCCAGACCTACCAACTAGAGGCAATCAAATGAAATTACGGAAATAAATTCGTTTCAGACTAACCTTGGTCGGCGTAAAGGCCTGAATCCGGGGTAGATACCTCGCATTGTACCTCTGGCTCCACGGAACGTGCCGCGACCGCGCGGAGGACGGTTCGTCGTGGACATACCAGGTCTGTTTGTCCGTTTCGGCATCACCTACAAATTACAACAACAACAACAAACAAACAAACATTAATATCATGTCACGTTAATGTCTTCATTAGTTAATTTATACCTTGATTTGTCTGCCGCGGAACAACGAATCGTCCATCGCCATCGCAGTCAGAACAGAGTCCCTATCACCGAACTCGATGTAGGCGAATCCCTTCGGGTGTCCATCGAACTTGTTGCACAAGATGGTAACGCGATTGATGGAGCCGCAACCGTGGAAGTGGTTCTCCAGTTCCTCCGCTGTTGCCCCGTAATCAACGTTTCCCACATAGATACTTCGGTTGTCCACTTCCATCTTCTCCTCGAAAGACATATTCAAGGGACTAGCTATAATGGGGGAGCAAAATAAATTAAATCAAAACCGACTAAAGAAAACTTTAAACGAAATACTCACTTAAACCCGGTGGGCTACCCATGTTCATTTGTTTATCAACTTCGGTTTGCAATTGTTTCAACTTTTCGGCTTCCTCTTCCATCTCCCGCACGCGAGCTTTGATCGCCTCTAATTCTGGATCATCGCCACCGGCGCCATCGCCGTCGGTGTCGTTCAGCAAAGCGTCGTCGTTGATTCCGTTCGTGTCGTCCAGAGAGTCCAATTGATCCTCAGAACCTAGACCCAAATCCTCATTATCTGCCATCACCTTAAACAAGGAATGTGTACAGATAAAATTAACTACCTAATCAATATTGCTTTAGCTTTTCGAATTGATCTTCTTTTTTTTTATACTGCCAAAACGGTAATAAAAAAAACAAACGAAATTTTAAAGAATTTTTTTTTACAATTTCAATCGGTTTCAGTTGCTATATTTGTCTTCAAAATCATATCAACAGTACTACTAATAGTAGACTATATTAATAAGTATATAAAAAAAATTGCCTTATAATGTGATTAATTAATTGTAATTTATGCTTAGATTATATCCAGGCCATAATGGTTCGAGATATATAGCATACAAAAATGGAATGCCGACATCGGCGAAGGCAGAGCAGACATGCAGAGTTGGCTGTGTTAGGTCTGCCCCTGTGTGTAAAATGATCATTGATTTTGTTTCAGATTACAGACTGTGCAACTCCCATTAAAACCATTTCTACAAGTAAACTGTGCAGTCTAAAGCAATAATATTAATATTAATAATGAACTAGTAACAAACCTACGGTTTACGAAAAGGGCCATTTGCAGAAAGTGACGCTACGACCGACGCCGCGAATAAATAAAATGATGATGGTCACACACGTCAACCGTGTTTTTTCCGTTGGTTTTCTTTCTGCCCGCAGCGAATAGGGAGGGAATGAGGTTAAAGGTGCATTCGTCTGGCCACGCTCGATGGTGGCGAAAACTATCACCATCGACTGACTTGAATCTGGGATCCGCGAATTGGACGCAACCACGGCGCAGATCGAACGCGAAGGGCGCGGACCCCTTTGACGTATCGGGGGGAGCAATTGTCGTACGAAAAAAAAAATAATAAAGCAAATCACTTACCAAAAACGGAACACAAATTAATACAACTATTTGAAAAACGTGCTACAAAATTGAGGACACTGACGCTAGAAAGCAGCCGGTGTTTTTATCGAAAGCGTTTGTTGGCGGCGGTGGTGGGGACCACCGACCTGAAGTTTGTTACGAGACGCGGTAGTGGTATTAAAGTTTTAAAAACAAAATCACCAACAGTGAAACCAAAAAAAAGAAACATGTACTAGCGCATCAATCGATAGCCCTTGCCGAAGAATATTTCAACTTCTAAGCTTTCAAACAGTTTATTTCTCATTACATCAGAATTTTCAATATTAATTACATACAGGATGCGCCATCTTATTTTTTAACACCGGAAATCCGTGTGCGAAATAATTCAAAAAATAAGCATTGCTTTAAATATGATCACAAAACAATAATAAAAACAAATCACCAAAAACTAATAGGGTTGATTATTTTTTTGAAATTTTATTTTGGCTACCCTGTGTGTGTTTAAACATAATTAAAAACTAATCAATTATGTTTATATTTAAATACTAATAATAAATTCATCAAAACTAAATAATACGATTATATTGATTTATACAAAAACTAATAAAAACCCTACAACTAAACCTGAAAATATAAATAAATTCGCTTTTTTTCTTTCTATAAGGCATTATTGGTGTTGTACAAGAATATATAATTATGTTTCAGTTGTGAGGAATTGTTGAAATGGTTTTCCTATTGCGGTGTGTTTCTGATATGCCCGCTTGCTGCTGTTTAACTTGTCCTGAAATTACGTATCTTTGGGCAACTAAGTACGGAGGACTGTATCCTTCCTCGTATTTCGTATCCTCGAAGAGAACCTCGTATTCATCCACATGCGTCGCCGGGCATTTATTGATTATCGCTTTATAAAAGCAAGTCGTTTGCGGATACAGTGCCATAACTGAAATTATAATCATTGTTAATAAATTGTATTATGTTGCAATCCTGTTTACCTATTGTTCCTTGTGGAAATAGAGCTTCTTGATCGGTTTCCGGATTTGCTCTCATTAGCGGTAAAGGGATGACAAACTTCTTTGCTACCACATGCCTCTTGATCTGGTTTCGTTCTTCAATGATATCATCCACTTCGTATTTGTTGGTGCTTGGATTGAAAGTGACAACTTCTGCCAGTATCAAATTAACGCCATCCCCAGCAACTTCCACCCAACTGGCAACCATATCACCAACCTTAAATGAATAGTTAAATGAAATTCGATGATTACAAACGTTTAATTATAAATTACCTTCGCATGGTATCCAGCTTCTGCTGGAGTTGCACCACATAACGGTGGTGGTTTTTCACCAATTTTACCCACAAACAGGGGCATCGTCTGGGCGTTATTCTTCAGCATTTTCATCCAAATCCCAGGCCTTATGCTCTCCTTATTTCCAGTTTGTCTCGCTTGAATGCGACGCTCATTTTTTATGTTCCTTATCTCCGTGATTTTGTTCAATGCTTCCCTCAACATTTCCTCTTGTTGCTCTGCATGATTTATGGCTGCTTTGTATAACGTTTTCAATTTTGTCTGTAAATGAAGTAATTTTTAATTTTTAACTTAATAATAATAATTAAATAATTGTATTACCTGGTATTGTGAAGATTTCTCTTCATCGGAACTTGTCTGATGTTTATATATAGAATTAATGCCGGTCTCGCATTGGTTTCTTTTCTTTTCTATCCCTTGGACTAAATCGAAAAGACACTTCAGCCTTTCCTGCACCTGCTCAGCGGCTATTGTATCTGGTGTAAAAGGCATATTTAAATATCGCAGGATTCCTCTTTTCCTAAACTCCTGCCAATCCTAATTGCATTCCACCAAGACAGTGAAACGATTAAAATCAGAGCCTATCGAAATAGAGATTAATAAGTTAATATTTCTAAAGATTTGTATGCTCTTACAATATCACGAAGATTCGTAGGCTTAACACGAAAATTTAGTAAATGTAAAAACATTGAAATAACCGAAACTAACCTTACACTAGCTGACTAAACTTAAGTTTGTTTACTAACAATATAGTATTGACAGTACGTCAAAAACTGAACTTTACGTGAATATGCGCATGCGCATAAAACCGAAAATATGTCATGGTTGTTCACCTGTGTTTCTCAAACTTTCTTTAGGTTGAATAATTACATTTTGAATAAATAGAAAATTGCTAAAATCGAATCAATTAATAATTTCAAAACAAAATAAAATAATAATAGTACTTTATTTTTATAATACTTTCAATAGCAAATCGTCTATGAATCACATGAAATAAAAAATAAGTTATGAATTGATATCATTCATAACATTAGTCTTGATATATTATTCATTTTTATTCTTCCAGAGTCGGATTTAGGACATTATGGGCTTGACTTAACGTTGGTTAATTAAAGTCCTCTAAATAGTGTAAGTCAAAAGTTAACTGTCTACCCTTGTTTGCTCCCTCCAGAATATATTTGATCAGTGGTTCTTAACCTTTTAGTAAAATGACGAATATATTCGCATCATGAAATTACTTGAAATATACATCCAGCACAAATAACTCCTACATTTCAAAGGGGTGTTTCAGCTGGAAATACATATCTATTTTGTTAATAAATATGAATTATACTGAAAATGATAGTTCTTCGGAAGAATCCAACAACAACGATCTCGTTGTCATTCGTTCTCTTCAGATGAGATGAATGTTGGTGCACCGAAGATGATGTTGAATTATCTATGGATGATTCAAATAACCATTTAGAAGAAATTCTTACAATAGAGAATGAATATTATATTGCAATGATCCATTTTTTCTTTACAATTTGCAAATTTTATTATGATGAAACTAATAAAGTAAGGAAGTAACGATGGATCAAAATTTAACACTAGAGAACATCAGAAGTCTTGGAAACCCGTCAGTATAGCGGAAATTGAAAAAAAAAAATAGAATTTAACTATATTGATCAAATAATATATGTACACCAACTTATGCATAAAAATGGCTATGAAACGAGATCGTTTTTTGAATATTTTAAAATATCTTCATTTCACCGACAATAACACCGCCATAAATGAGAATAGTTTGTTTTAGACGAAATTATCAATAGATTTAAAAGTGTTGTTAAACCAGGAAAATATATTGTGATAGACGAAAGTGTTATGTTCCAAGGATGGAATTCTGGACACAGTGGAATATTGTCTGTTGTAGTCTCAGTTGTTGGGAATTCAATGAAATTCGTTTGGTTTTACATAACTTTATTCGTTACTTGGTCGATCTGTGACTATGCTCAGATTCCTATAAGACTATGTTCATCTTTAAAGGTTTTACTGAGATTACTTCTAAATACTTATTGTACTTGCAAAGTTATTTCTTATTAATACGGACAGGATGGGAGTTTTAGGAGTAAGATTTTGAGAAGGCGCTCCGCTTCAGGCTACTGTTCTCCGTGGGATCTGTCTATTCTGCAGTTTGGTCTTATCAGTTGAAAATACGAAGAAACGTTACAAACGGTCTCTGCCTTCATTGGGATTTGTCTATTTTGCATATTGATTCTGTTAATGACCTATAATAGTCCTCAGTGGTACCCAAACTTAGTGGTTAGACACAACAAAAGTATGATAACAAGGCCTGAGTTTTCGACAGATTCCTGGAAAACGACACAAATATGGCATTAAATTATAAAAAAAAATATTTTTTCCCAGTGGTGGAAAAATGCTGAAATTATAAACATAGGGCATTGTCATGATAGATTTTTATACAAGCGAAACATAAACAAAAAAACGAGGAACCATTTTAAGCTTGAGGAACCGAAAATGAACTGATAAAAGGCCAGTTTCCTTGTTAACAACAAGCAACAAATATATTTGTATATAATTGATGGCGGCAGCGGAAAACTTTTTTTATTATAAAATTCAAATAAAAGGAGTTGAGGTTTCTGATCAAATAACATCATATTATAACTGTTTACGTAGGAGTGTTAAGTAGTATTGCAAATGATTGGTATATTCATAAAAAAATGGGATACTAGGAACAATATAATTTACTACAAGGAATCTCATTGAAGTTTGATCAGTTATGTATATTTATTTCTGCTTTAAATCGAAACGTTTTTAGATATTTAGAAAATTTAATGAAACTGTCTGTTGTTGAAAAAGATATTAACGCCGATGAGATTGAACTCTGCAGGGACACAAACATTTCGAAAATTTAGATTTCCAGCTTTGGATTACAAAACGATATTGATTTGACGTTCCAAGAAGAATTGATTGAAGTAAAGGAAAATTTGGTATCTAAAATCAAGTTTGAAGCAAGTGGATTTGCCAAATTTTGGAATTACAAAGAAATTCTTAAAAAAAAATAAGTTTTACCTAGTTCTTATTTGGTGATTTAAGATTATTATTAACGAATAACCAGATATAAAAGTATTATTAAAATCTCAAGAACTTTTGAATTGATGTTATTAACTAATAATTAAGAAGCTAATGAATTTGAATATACGTTTAATTGAGATAAATATTTATGTAAAACAAAATCCTTCAATCCTAGAAAAGCATAAAATGGATATGGCGTGAATGTGTATATGTATCTGCTCACTGAATTATATTGGATTCATAATACAACTTGTAACATCTTGCAGCTACAACAGTAATCCTAAAAAGATAATTTAGTTTTATGGAATTATGGAAATAGGCTGTTTAACTTGTCCTGAAATTACGTATCTTTGGGCCACTAAGTACGGAGGACTGTATCCTTCCTCGTATTTCGTATCCTCGAAAAGAACCTCGTATTCATCCATATGCGTTGCTGGACATTTATTGATTATCGCTTTATAAAAGCAAGTCGTTTGAGGATACAGTGCCATAACTGAAATCATCAATAATTTATAATGTATATTTAGTTGCATATATTATTGTTAACCAACTGTTAAAGCTAATGTTAATCAATTAGATTAGGTACTACCTAACGTTCCTTGCGGAAAGAGCGCTTCTGGATCTGTTTCAGGATTGGCTCTCATCAGTGGAAGTGGTACAACAAACTTCTTTGCCACCACGTGTCTCTTGATCTGATTGCGCTCTTCAATGATATCATCTACCTCATATTTGGTGGTGCTTGCATTGAAGCTGACGACTTCCGAAAGTATCCAATTGACGCCGTCGTCAGCAACCTCCACCCAACTTACAACCATATCACCAACCTCAAGGATCAATACAAGAATGTTAACAAGTTTTGATTTAAAAAAAAAAGTTAAATACCTTGGCATGATATGCAGGATCTGCGGCTATTGCACCGCACAGAGGAGGCGGTTTCTCACCAATTTTACCCACGAACAGTGGCATAGTCTGAGCGTTATTCTTCAGCATCTTCATGCAGATACCAGGTCTTATACTCTCCTTATTTCCAGCTTGTCTCGCTTGAATGCGTCGCTCATTTTTGATGTTCCTGATTTCAGTGATTTTATTCAACGCTTCCCTGAGCATCTCCTCCTCTTGCTCTGCATGATTAACAGCAGTTTTGTATAGCGTTTTCAATTTCGTCTGAAAAAGCCATCATTACAATCTCTATTGACTTATTCTGAGAAAGCAATAATTATAATCAAGAGCCCAAGTTGTTTGACAAGTAAAGCAGTTCATTTGAAAGGTTTATAAGTAAGAAAAGTTGTGACTAATCACAATGAAAGTATTTGCATACGTATTTATCTTTTTCATAATTGGTAGCTTGGTAAGTACGATAGTACTCAATATGTTAATAATATTTTGACTTCAAGCATTTTCAGGTAGACTTGAATGTGGAGGGAACGAAATCACTCATTGATGAAGAGCAGAAGATGAGGGAGAAACTTCTAAGAGGCTACTGCTACATATTTGGCACATGCTACAACTTTTTGTGTGACTGTGATGTAAAAAAGACTAATCATAAGCATAGTTAAACATTTTTTTTTGACATAATACATTAAATCATAATAATATGATTAAGTAGAAAGTTTTTCACGCAAGAAAAGTTTTTCAGGAAGAACGAATACAGAACACAAATAATAAATTTAAAATGAAACGTTTATTGTAACTACTGTTTAAATAATAAAAGAGATTACTAGTTGATTAATTAGTTGAAATGTAGAATATTAAGATACCTGATATTGGGAAGATTTCTCTTCATCAGGGCTGGTCTGATGTTTGTATATTGAATTAATTCCAGTCTCACATTGTGTTCGTCTCTTCTGTATCTCTTGGACCAAATCGAAGAGACTTTTCAGCCTCTCTTGGACCTGTTCAGCAGCTATTGTGTCTGGCGTGAAAGGCATACTTGAATGTTGCAAGATTTCTCTTCCCAGACACTTACGTCAATCCTAACAGCATTCCAATAAGATAATTACAAGCCAATACCTATTAAGATTAAGATAAATAAGTTAATATTAAAAGAGATTTAAACATTCCTATAATGGCTTTAATTTTACTTTAACAAATACATTTAATAATTGTATATAGACAAAATATTTAGACTGAAGTAAATGCAGATCGTTTTACCATTTTCCAACATGTCAGAAGCAATTGTTTTGATGAAAAATAACAAAAGAAAACAACCCCACATTTGATCGCATGCGCGTTTTTTTTTTTAATGCAGTGTATCCCAAACCTGAAATGTGTACTCGCATTTCTTCTCACAGTTAATTATTATATGTAAAAAAACGAATAAGAGAATCAATAGAAATACGGTTTAATGTATAGAATATAAATTGGAAAAATATCTTCCATTAAATATGATGTAATACAGGCAACTTTACTTACAACAATAGAATCACCAATCGAATGCTTTCACAACACTAAATTTGCAGTTTTCATATTGTTTTTAAACAAATAAAATAACTGCGACATTGTTTAACTCTGAAATTTTATTTGTATCAACATTTAACAAGAATTACATCTGTAAATTGGATTTCCTATTTGAATATACATTCATTCGGTTAACATTAATTGAACTATTTATGCGTGTTGAATATGTACGTTTTTCCTCGTCATCATTGAATTTTGTGCAATATATTTATATTTTTTAATATACGTTTGTAAAATCAATGACTAATAACTATCGTTTCAATAAAGTTTAACTGTTTTTTCTTTCCCTTCGTTTATGTTAAAAATGTCTTACAAATAACAAATATATATCTTATAAATCGTCTTAAAACAAAAACGTCAATATAAATAAATTTTTCTAAAAAAAGAAAATGTTGGCAGATATTTCATTAGCAGCGAAAAGAACGTCTTTCGGCGCCTTTCGCTTTTTGCACTTCAGTTTAAAATCTAATAAAAAGATCTACTTTTTATTATATTTAGTGTATTATATTATAGAAATCAATTAATATATGATTCGTTGGTGTTTTAACACTTTCATTACTATATTTATATATATTTATGACTCAGTCCAAAAAGGTAATTTTGATTATTTTTTATTAATAAATTCTGAGACTGAAATTCGCTTTTCGTATATGAATAAAAAAAAAGTTAAAAGATATTGTCAATAATTTAGGCAGAAATGTATTATTTTTTTTTCATTCTTCATATTATGACACCTTCTTTTAGCATTTTATGCATTATTAAGTAATTGCTACCATTTAATGTCGTGATAATATTTATCACGTTAATTTCATTCAATTGTAATTGAATTTATTTAATAAATCCAATATACTGGAAATAAATATAAAGAAAAGTAATTAATCAATGTTATTCATGAACTGAAATTGAATTTTGGTTGAATTCGCTAAATTCTGGCTGTAACTGAAGAAATGTTTAGTTTGTTTTTGGTTTGCGTCTGGTTTCTTGGACGGCAGCGACCAAGCTTTTGACGGCCTCTTCGTGCCCTTCGAAACTATCGGCTTTCCGTATGGGAACCGGATCCGGCGCGGACAGTTTCGGACAGGCGTGGTGCCGTCTCTTCGGTGGGAACGTCTCCCAGCTGCGTTGCTTCTGCGCTAAAGTTTGGTTTTTATTCCTCCGATTTATGACAACCACCAGCGTTTTATCAGTACCATCGTAACTTGAGCGTCTGCTGGAAGTGCTGAGCGAATCGGCGGAATCGTGCAGAGAATAGAAAACGTTATCTTCGCCGTCGCTGTAAGGATACACCTTCGTCGCTTTTCTCTGCTTGGATTGCGACTGCAGTTTGGATTTGTTGCGGCACTTGGGACTGCTGGGACTGGACCGCGTCTCGTGCACCAGCGCCTTCACGTTTTTTGAGCCCTCCGTGGGCATCCTCTGGTAGTCACACTTCTTGCCCTCCTGCGTACAATTGATTTTATCACAGCTTTTGCCTATCTTCTTGTACGTAATCCTGTGGTGTTTCTGCCCCAGTTTGGCGATTTGCTCAAGATCGCTCTTGCTCAACTTGCGCGGATCTATCTCGGTATCGGACTTGGATGAAGACTGCTTTTCCTGCTGCTGCTGGTGCTGCTGCTGAGGTTGCGACTGACGTCTGCACATGATGTCGTGTATCTTTTCTTTGATATGTGACTCCAGCCGATCGATGTTCAGCTGTTGCGGCGAGAACTTCTTCGGCTTTGAGGGCGTCGTCGTCGCGGACTTCTCCACCTGCGACGTGGACTTGCTGCGCTCTCTATCCGGTTGATTCGGTCTCACCTTCTCGATGAGCTGTCCGAGCAGTCTACTCCTCGAGCGCGGTATTTTACCCGTTTCCGTTTGTAGCCTCCCGATGTGCTCCAAGATGTTCTGCAGATGCTGAGCTTGCTCAGCAGCTTGCTCGCTCTGCGAGGTCTGCGCTGGCGTTAATGTCCTTATGTACGGTTCCAACTGCTGAGCAACGTTATTCAGATGCTTCAGTTCGTTTCGAAGCGTCATCACATCGGCCCTCTGGCAACTGAACACTTCTTGCTCGACTCTCAAACGCCAGAGCTGTTCGTCCCAGGATTTATCAAAAATCGAGGCCATACGATCCAATTCCTGTTGTTGCCTTTCCAAACTCTGATCCAACATATTACAATCAATACTTAACATTTCGTAGCGAGTTGCTAGCGGTGGATTTTGAGCTTTACGAATTGCCGTGATATCTTTATGCAATTCACTGACCTTGTCTTTAACGGAATTGAATTGCTGGTTCAGATCTCTGATCTGCGACTCAAATGAACGGCAGTGGGACGCGAATGATGTATCAGAGTCCAGCAGTTTCGATTTCAGAACGTTTTGCTGTTTCTTTGTTGGAGGCGGTGCACTTTCGTACACCCTTGCACTTGATGATCCTAAAACACAATTATAACATTAACAAACAGAATTATAAATATAGAAATTGTAATAAGGGACAAAAATATATTAATGATTCATTTCTTGGACAAATTAAAATGATGATTTTAATTTAGAAAACGGCTGTCTTTCATAACTAGCTGAAGTTTCAAGAAAATGTAGGAAATAAAATTAAACTACTTTCAAAAGCGTTAATAGTGATAGCAAAGACATTTTTACTGAAAAAATCTATAAATCGGCTAAAGAATAACTTTACAATTCGGTGTACATATATTATATTAGAGATACTCGTCAAATTCGGAAAAGTTGCTTTTTACTCGTCGATTTTGGCATAAATTTAAATTAAATTGCAAATATGAAAATTAGAAAATGAACAGCGAAATATGTGTATTGTTGAGCACGGAATTGCAATACTTTCATATATTTTCGAATTACCTGCAAGTTCAGCAAGATGTTGGCTGACAGCGGTTTGTCCGATCCACGGTTCGAGCGATTGCGCAAATTCGCTTCGGTAATTAGTTTTGATTGATGAAGATTGTAAAGATCTAAGCAGAACAATAAAGTAGAATAATAGTAAATTAAAGATGTCTTGATGCTACCACTCACCTAACGGGTTGGCTCAGCTGTCCAACGGCGGACAGACGTTCAATCAGAGATGGACATAACTCCAAAAACTGATACTTATTAGCAGCCGAAGTGAATGTCGTGCATAAGACCAAATGCAATTGCAGCACCGGCATCACAGTTCCTATATCAATCAGCGTTTGTTCGATACAATTACGAAACGCAAGAGCGTATAATTAATAATTTAATAATTACCTAGTACAACAAGTTGACTTCTGTACACCCTGTCTTTGCTCTCGTACTGTCTCTGCACCTCCATGATCATAGCGGCGTGCGTCTTGGCCATAGCTTCTTGCATACCCTGGCAGAAAGTGTTGATCGTATGCTTCTCTGCATCCATGTTCTTCCTCAGCTCATCCATTAAACCTTTGAGTGCGATGATGCCGTCCCTCACCGAAGTCTGCAGATCCATTATAGCGTTTTGACCACGCTCCAGACGTTTCGCAGCTTGGGTATGAGCCGTCTCGATGTCCACGCATTGGGCTCGCACTTCGTTAGGTGTATCACGGAAGCAATTCACGCATAGCATAGCATTCTGCATCGGGGAGTACATGATGTACTGCTCCCCGTGCTGCGGACACTACAACATAAAACCAACGTCCCAAACATTCGTTAATCCATCATCATAGCATGTGTTTGTATTCTGGTCATCAAATAAATCTACAAAAATAACTTCTTCTGCAAAAATGAAAAAACAAGTCTTAACATCTCATTATTATAATATTACCCATATTCCCCCATATTCATTATGAAGTATGCATAATCTCCATGACTACTATAGCTTGATTGGCCTTTACTTACAATTATCTCTGATTATCTACATCTAATTACAATTAAACTAATGATATTAAATAATGTAATGATGAGAAACATAAAAACATCCAAGACGATATACCAACATAAAAGTATAGCTAAATTTAGAATCGCGCCCTAATTTAGTCGGCTTCAGTACACAGTCTATCAGCAAACAAAGACGACCCTCCCTATAAAATAATATCTCCGATTGAAAAATACTACGAAAAATCAATCTAAACTCAGACATATTGTTTAGCTTGTACTTGGATTGAAAATACAATATTTTTTATACTACGAATCGTTACATTATTAATCGATAAGAATCGTTTAAAGACCTGGCGTTTCCACTTACGATGCTATTTCTAGATGATGCTTTTGTTGAGATCGATTTCGTTAATTACATTTGAGATAATTTATCATCTAGGATTCTAACAGATTGAGTGCATGTACAACTTAATCTGATGATGTCTTGGATTAGTTACACGCAATTAATATACAATAATAAGTGATTTAAATGTATTTTTTAGATCAATCTGTTAATTTATATCATGACAAAGTTCGTATCTGTTAAAAAAAAATATATATGTTGAAATCATTAATCACAAAGAAAGAATGATTTTGTGTCTGTTGATATAGCGTAGTTTACTAATAAATTTCAAATGTTAAATGGGATTCAACTTAAAAAATAATCCAATTGAAGATGTTCTATTAGCGCATAATTAATCGGACAATGAATGCTCTTATATTTGGAATCATTTACGTCAGTGGTTTTCAAACTTGATGTTACTACGACTCCCTCAAAAGTATGTAAAATATATATACATATATATATAAAATATATATATAAATATATATAATATATACATTCCTATGCTCTTATCCATATTGCTGTAATACGCGTTCCTTTTATGAAATGGGAGGCGCCAAATGATT